TGGCATGAGCTTTTCACATCAGTTAATAAAAACTAAGATTGTCATGAAAAGTAAACATAACGAAATTCAAGTTGACGAAATAAAATTGTAGCATGTGTAAATGTCATAAAGAGTTGATATAATGTAAAGGAAAGTTAACACGATGCAATAGCAGTGTGGGTTAATGTCATAAAGAGTTGACATAGTGTAATGGAAGGTTGGCACAATGCAATAGTAGGGTGGGTTAATGTCATAAAGAGTTGACATAATGTAATGAAAGGTTGACACAATGCAATAGTAGTGTGGGTTCATGTCATAAAGAGTTGACATAATGTAATGGAAGGTTGACACAATGCAATAGTAGTGTTCTGCTATAAGGCAGTGACGGCGTTCCATACTTGTAGTTATATAGTAGATTAATGTAAACAGGTTTCTTTTAAAAATGACCAGTGCTTACCGACGCCTATTCAAAGTTAAAAAAAGACATGAGTTCTCAGAAAAAAATTCTTCACATGTTGATTTATTTTTAAGAAAAATATTTTTGCGAATGCAATGCACGCGCAAATTTGCTAAAAATTTATCTACAGTAAACATTTCCAGATTTACGGTAATAATTTTGTTTTAATATTTGATTATCATAATGATGAAATGTAATTAAATTTCTTTGTCTACAGTTCAAGGGACACTAATGCCCTAGTGGGTTTACAACGTGAATTGTAGGCAAAGGGATTCCTCTTTTAAGTGTACTATTGCTGGCTTGTTCTCATTTAGTTAATTGTTTTATACAGAGAAAAAGTACCAAAAGTCCACAAGATGAATGTACATTTATCACAAAGTTCCAGACTGGAGAATGGCCAGTGGATTTAATCTTGTAAAAGTTCAAGTCAGAGATCAGCCAGCATGGTTAACACTTGAAGGGGGAGTTGCTTTGCTTGCAAATCACGTCCCTTCGGCTGAAGATGTTCTTAATGGTGGTGTACAATTTGATATTAGACGTTTCCATTACGTGATCCCAAGTATTTTGTATCTGGTCAACTGCATGAACATCTTTCTTTTTAGGAGTACATTATTGACTCTAAAATGTTAAATGTTGATGTTTTGCAATGGCTTAAAAATGGTGTAAATATTGGTGAATTTTTTCGACATTTTAAGGGAAACTTTAAGTGTCAACATTTTGATTCTGATACCCCACCTAGACAATATTTTAAAAATGCCGATAGCTGCAAACAACATGTTGAATTTACAGCACGAGAGTTGTGTGAGAGAATTCCATCTGGTTCAATTAGATTGTTAGGTAAGGTGGGTTGTTGTCAGCCTCCAAAGGTCATAATTCCCCTGACAGTTGAGCCATCAAAGCCAAGATTATGTTATGATGAAAGGTTTTTGAATCTTTGGATAAAATATATACCTTTTATGCTAGATACTTTGAAAGATATTCATAGAATTGTGCAGAAAAACTCGCTCATGGCAACTTGTGATGAAAAGTCTGGTTATGATCATGTGAAATTGACAGAATCATCTCGTCCATATTTTGGTATTCAGTTTGGTGGCTATTTGATGGTTTATAGCAGTCTTCCTTTTGGGTGGAAGACATCATATTTTATCTATCACACAGTAGGTATGTGTGTTACGACATATTTAACGAAGCTTTCAGTTCAGAATACTTTATATATTGACTATCGGTTTGTTGTTTCAAGGGGAAGTGATAGGGATGATGATGAACTAGTTGTTATGGAGTCAAGGAAACTAGTGTATGTAATGGTAGAATTTTTGACGAGGATAGGGTCACATTGCCTCTTAGTAAATGTTCATTAGACACATCTACTTGTAAAAGATATCTTGGTTTCTTGGTTGACTCTGTTAGGAAAGCTTATATACTTCTAGAAGATAAGAAACAGAAATTTATTCAGTTGAGAGAATCAATTCTGTCAGGCAGTGAAGTTGATTTGAGGACTTTGCAAAGATTTTGTGTGAAATGCATTTCTATGTGTTTAGCAGTTCCAGGTTGTAAACTTTTTTGTAGAGAACCTAATGCTGCTATTTCTATTTGTCAACAAAATAGTAAGAGTGCGAAAATCTCAGAGTCATTGAGAGAAGAACTTGAGTATTGGAGATTTATAGACACTTGGTCTGGTTGTTTAAAATGGAGGTCTGAGTTCCATAAAAGAATAGAGTTGTATACTGATGCATCGGGTTTTAGGTTTGGAGCATATGTTAAATTAGAAAATGGTTGTACTGTACAAGGTGATTACTGGGAAAATAGTGATTGTAGACCAATTCATGAAAAAGAAGCTGATGCTGTTCTTATATCTTTGCAATCTTTAAGTGATGTTTTAGAAGACTCTACGGTTGAAGTTTTGTCTCATAGCATGGCAGTAATGGGATCTTGGAAAAATCAAGGAAGAAAATCGAGGCCATTAAATTGTATTATGAAGAAAAGTTTTTAATTTGTTGTTGAACATAACATTGATTTACATTTAACCTATGTTCCTTCAGATTTGAATCTTGCTGATATACCTTCACGTTAACTTGGCAGATAGTATGTTAAGTGAGAAGTCTTGGTCAGTGGTTGAGTCATGTTTTGGCCCTCATTCTGTGGACATGATGTCTTTGGATTCTAATGTTATGAGATCGGTAGATGGAAAAGCTCTGAAACATTTTACACCATGTCATACGCCTTCATCATCTGGAGTAAATGTCTTTTGTCAGAATGTCACTGGGGAAGAGAATTCGTATGTGTATCCACCTTTTACTTTAATACTTCCTGTACTGAATTTCCTCGAAGAGCAGGGTGCTGTTGTTCCAAAGATAAATTCTCTTCCTATTTGGTGGCCAAAACTTCAGTCATGCTCAATTTGTTCAGTTTGTCTGGGGTTAAAGGGAGAAAAAGGATGTGTTAGGATACCTAGTAGGAATGGTTTTGTTTTAGATTCAGTTGGTTTAAGATGGCCCTTACTCGCATATCGAGTATCATTCATGTGATTTTGAATATTACATTCTATTTCTTGATTTATTGTAGGAGAGAATTTCAGATGTGCATATAGATTGTGAGGCAATTGACAGAAGACTTTTACAGTTGGATGAAATTACTATGTCATCACCTGGGTTTGAAGAAGAAGAACAGTCTATTCGAAATTTTTAGCAACTTCTTAAAAAGTTTTTCCTTATCACTTGCTAAATGTACACCAAATGATGTAAGACGATTTTTGGTTTGGAAAGATTCTAAACGGAAAACAATTGTACATGAATTGAGTTGCCCATCTTTAGGTACTAAAACTAATGTTGAATGTAATTGCCAAAAGCGCTTAGCCTCTGGAACAATAGAGAGCATGATTCAGCAGCTGATTCAAATATTTGATGAGCAGGGTTTTGGAAGATATTGGGATCTGATTTCGGGGTTTGAGAATCCTGATGCATCTCCTTTAGTTAAGGAATATTCAAAATTAATTAGAGAAGAACAGGCTAAGTCACATGTACTTCCAAACAAGCAAATGCAATATTTTGGTCGAAGGTTAGGGCAATATCATTGTTTTTTGACAGAGAATTGAAACGTGATGATCTTCATGTTAGGGAAAGGTATGTCTTGTTAAGGGATCAGGCTTGGTTAAAACTTCAGGTTTTCACTGGTGATGGAGCTAGTGATCTTTTCTCGGTTGTTGCACAGGAGGTTAAGTGTCTAACTGATGAGTTAGGGTTAGTGTTTAAACATACATTTGGAAGGACTCTTAGAGGTGATAAAAGTAAATGCAATTCATGTGTGATTAAAAAATGTACTGATTTTGTAGTTTGTCCAGTGAAGGGTTTACTAGATTTTGTTAGGTTTGCAAAGTCGCACAATGTTGATTTATCCAAGGGATACTTGTTCAGAACAGTTGCAGAGTGTGGCAGAGTTTTGGAAAAGAATGTCAGTTACTCAGTGGTGTATGAGAGGATGAGATGTTATTTGTCAACACTAAGAACTTATGAGGGGGAAACGCCTCATAGTTTTCGATCAGGGTGTGCTATTACTATGGCATTGTCAGGGTCAGTAGATAATGTAGATCAAGTTATGAATCACGTGGGATGGTTTGGAAAGTCAAGCGCAGAGTATTATTGTAGAATGTCAACACTTGTAGATTCAGGAGTGGTTGCATCAAAGTTGGCAGAATCTGTGCATCAGGCAGATATGGTTGAGAAAGAGTATAAAGATAAGGCAGATTATTCAGGTTTAAAAAATGCATTCTATTGGGAGAAAGAAGTTGTACAAGTTAGGTGAGAAAGAAAAGTTGCATAGATTACGATGCATTGTGGAGTATTGTTAGTTATACAGAGAATTGTACTTTCAACAAAAGAAGACATGTATTACTATGGGGTTATCAATAATGTTAATAAATTATCATTATATAAAATCAATAATGTTAATAAATTGTCATTATATAAAAATGTATTTAGTAATGGTTGTAATGATAATAAAATTGAGATATAAAATTTGGTATTGATTTTTGTTCTGAGTATTGGGAATGGAGAATTCGTTGTTGAATGGTTATATTGAATGGATTTCCTACTTTAATGGAAAATTGGTTAAAGGGGTAATCATATTGCAGAGTTTTCATTCCCAAAACTTAACGAAACTGAATGCAATAGATAAAAAACACTGAGGATATGGGTAGATCATCATTGGTTAATATCAAAGCGGATGTTAAGAGACGTGTTAATCAGTATTAGTTCAACACCTGTGGAAGAAGAGATTAGTTGGATACACATGCAAGAGGCAGATGGTTATTAATACATGTATTCAAATATGATTGCGTTTGGTGGAAGGTTTTCCCACCCTCCCACCTAAAAAAAGGATGTTAAGGCTACATATATTAAAATATGGATTGCTAAATAGATGTGTTTAATATCAACTTGCATTTAGTACCTTTCCAAGAAGAGTTTTCATTCCCAAAACTTAACGAAACTGAATGCAATAGATATTAAACACTGAGGATATAGGTAAGTCATATACCCTTCAATTTAATTCAAAATTTCTCCCAGTGACGTTAACCAACATGATTCTTACTTCGATTTCCTGGTTGCTTGCATTTTCCTGTTGTAAAAACACATGTTTTTCGGCAAGCTTGTGGACAGAGGGACTGACATCCATTTCCGTAATGCCCTGCAGGACAAGACTTCTTACAGTTGATTCCAATGTACCCAGGAGGGCATCCTAGTATATGTATAAAAATAGTTTCAAAATCTCAATAAGCAAGACAAAATGATTGATATACTCACTCGAATGATTTGATATTGAACACTTTAAAAGTAGACGCTGTAATTATAATTGCTGATACTAAAAAAATGAGTTATTTGAAATTATTGATAGCCTCGTTGGCTGTTCAATGAACTAGCAAATATGTTTTTTGAACAGCCAACTCGTGCCAGTATTCAAAAATATATATAAATTTCGAAAAAAATAAATAACTTTGTGTATTAAGGAAGCAAAAACTCCAGAACATATTATTAAAAAAATGCAAAAATAGATCCTTATTTATTGCAGAACATGTCAATTATTTAAACAAAATGACAAAAACACAAGCGTCGATGTAAAATAAAGAAAAATTGGAAATTTCTTAACTAAATCCTTTCATAGGCAGTCAAAAAGAAAATAACTGCCACATAGCATAGTCAGAATCGAATGTACACAATTTTTATCTTACATCAATTCAAAATACTATAAGTATTTTATTAAACAAAAAGGTTAACCTACCTGTACATGAATTCGACTTCTTGTCAAAGATTTCATTTTCTAAGCAGTATCTACCATCTCTGCAAAAGAAACTTCTTCTCAAAGAACATGGGCAGTCATAACAGCAATAAAATGCTATTTGACACAACAACTTACTGTTTTCTGCCACACTGAATTCTTTCTACAAAGACGAAAATGAAGAGTGATACTACAAGGGCTCTAGAAAGCATTGTATCTTTATTCAAACAGATCAAAAAAGTTTCTTTTATAGGTTAAATATATTATTATTTCCCTGCTAATTTATGCCAAACATGACTACACTTCCTTAAAATAGAATTATCCTTCCTGATCATACTTGGATGCTTATTTCCTAGAATACAGTTTAAATTGCATAGTTAAGCAATGACACTTACCATCATAATTAAATACAAGCTTTCGAAAAATTGATTTATTTCTAGAAAAAAATGCATTGACTTTATCCATTCCCGTAATACTGTATTTGCATTATGTTGAAGGTCATACGATTTCACGGAAGACCCTATATACATGTAGTGATTCTAATGTTTCTTAAATTCTTTTTCGACAAAAAATATTATGCAGGCAATTGCTCAAGAACTATTCAACTGTCTTCAGTTAAACTTTCACAAAATATGAGTCATTACATGAACTTTGTTATCACATGGAAATGTTGGGAAATTCTCTTCTGCTGCCAAGCCATGGACAATTTTCTGATTTTAATTTGACATTTTGTCACCCCTTTTTCAAGAGTAGTTAATTATATGAACTGGAGTCGTATTGGAGATGGAGATGATAGAACATGACATAAATCTGAAGAATCACCTTTTCGTGATTCGGCAGTACATCTGGTCGCTACCGATAGCGAATAAAAAAATCAATTTTTCAACCTTTTGTGCACGTTTCAATATTTTTGATTAATTTTAGTAAGATTAATAAAGAATTTTTTTAGCATACAAAATTATAATTTGTTTTTAATCGAAAAAAAGCCAAACTCAAAATATTTGCATTCAAAAAATTGAAGCGGTAGTTGCTCTCAAGAATAAAAAGTGATTACAACTAGAGGTACTCTGAGCAATGAGCTCCCCTGTTATATTAGCGCCTCTCATATGAATAAACATATATGTAATGCCATTGTTCTTGTTTTGCTATTGGAAACCAAATATATGTGTCGGATCAAAAAGTTAAAATAAAAGGTGCACAATGACATTATGTAATAAAGATTCACTGAAAATTTCATCAAATTTCACTCAATTGTATAAGCTGAGTTGCAGATTAGAGATGGGTACCCCAAAGTGCATCAGACAAATGGACGGACAGCTAGACGCACAGACGGATGGAAGACATCCCGATAACTATATACCTTCCTGTTTTTTAAGCGGGGGTATGATTATTTGGAAATAATTCAAATTTGATCAGCATTTACAATATTTAACTACACATCCGCAAATAGTTCCATCTGTATCATACAAAATAAGCCCAAAATTCAAAATATCATCTTATCCATTTCTTGCATTTAATCAATTCCGAAATAAGAAACTAGCAAGAACTTCTTTTGCATATTCATCAAAAATATCATCACATACCAGTTAAAACTTTGATTATTAAATAAACGTGATATTCCATCACAGTGTGAAAGAATATCTAAATGATTTTCTGTTAATGTTTTATTGAATATCAGAAGTTTGTCAAAACTTGAGATTTTCCTTACCATCTTAAAGAGTGTTTTCAAAATTGTCCCTGGCTTAAGCCTGTTGTCAGAGAAAAATGTAAATATTTCATTCTAGATCTAGAAAGACTACAACAGCCAACGTTCTCCAAGTATGTTATTGAAAGCCGGTTTTACAGTGTTTTCTAGCTCAGAATGATTAGTTAAGCCGTTGCAACTGCTTCATCATGACGTCATAGCTTATAAAACTATTTTACAAAAGTCAGTTTGACATTCAGACTATCTGATACCTAGTGCATTTCCCGCAATTTACAGCTGTATATATAACATTTTTGAATAAGTTTTCCTATTATATCACAAATGTAATAAGTTTCGCTATAAACCCTGAAAAATGCCGAGTCACAAAACGGAAACAGTTATGTCCGGCCGGAAACAGTTATGTCAACCCTCGCCGGAAACAGTTATGTCACTATTTCGATCACGTTCACGTGTTTTTACGTTACGCATTTTAGTTCGTGTTCGAGATTTTATGACGTCGGTTGCTAAGCAAAAGTAAACAACACAGCGTCAACGTCAGCGTCAAGAATGCATTTTTGGATTATTTGTGTACATTTTAACGATTTTGAATGATTTTAAATTTTCTTTTAATTTTAAAAATGTCATATAACATATACCACATGGCTTCTCGGGCGACTATACCAGAATATTTGGTGACAGGAAAGCCCTGGAGTGTTATGTCACCCGATGCTGTATATATATATTGTTTTTGAACGAAAACTCCCGAGAGTAGTAGGCGTCACAACTGTCTGGTTTACATCACAAACTTACTGATTGTTTCATCAGATTGTAACGTGTCAAATGGTTCAGAAACTTTACATAAAAATCATAAGAGAATGAATTTGAGAGCATGATCAATTTCAAAGTTTACATGTATGTTTACTTTTAAAGATAAATGCTTGTTTTTGTAAAATATCCAGTTTATGACACGAATGTTTGGTAAAAATCATATTATTTCGTACAAAGCTATTTGGAATTTGGCGTTTAAGGGCTGAATATATCTTCATGTTTCCTGAGCATTTATACAATAAATGTATAAGATTACTGTAGATTGGCAAATATTCACGATTGTTTTAATTTCGCGATTTGTTAATTTTCCGCGAAATTAAACCCATCGAAAATTTTATTATTTGTTTTTAAAGCTTTTAAACGCTTATACGAAATTTTGAATTAATTTCTTGCAGCGTGAAATTAAAACCATCGCAATTGGTACTTTTTGAGATATCGTGAAATTTTAACACCGTGGAATTAAAACGACTTACAGTATTATGCTATAGTTGAATCTGAAATTTAGAACATGGGTGAGAGGGGATTTTTTTCACTTGTGCGAAGGCAATACTCCAATAGTTTTTAAAGAATATAAGTACGTCTCGAAGTGCAACTGAATTCATTATGCATATATTTATATAATTTAGTAGAAAGTGGGAATATAAACCCCAAAAAGATGAATAACATGAACTATTGTGAATTGAAAAGTATTCATTGTGAAAGATTGACACAAGGGTTGTTGTAATTGTATACAAGTATTCATATTTTAGGGAACTGTTAGGGTGATGTTAGAAATCGACTATTTATCAATATTTAGAGTACAATTTTAATACAACCATAAATTCGTATGTCATAATGGAATAATATTTGAATTACATGTACCATTAAAATATTTTCTTTACATCAGTGCGTTGATACTGTGTTGTTTAAATTGGCTTTTCAATTTTTGTCTTAAAGTGCAGAAAGAAATAATAGCTTTGTCTTCTTTTCTCCTCTAAGGATGATGCAGGTGGTAAATACTATATGCAACGACATGACCATAGCATGCGGATTTTTAAAGGAAATTTCATTTTGCCAGGTCATGGCATGCAGATTTTTTTTAAAAATTACATTTTGCAAGATCAGTGGTAATCAATTAAAATTTAATGTATTTGTTTGTAGAAAAAATGTCTAGCAAAAGGATAATTAAGGTCTTCCGTTTCCAACGGAAGACCTTCTACTGATTCTGATGATTAAGATTATTTTTATTATTCTTTGAGGCCTCATATTTCACTCATTTCTCAATGGATTTTGCTCAAGTTTTCAGAGTTGATAGACCTTACTGAACTCTATCAGAATGCTATCTAAAATTTCAAAAAGTCACTTCCGGTTTTGAGTCATTTCCCTATAAACAAAAATTTATAGGCCTTCGTTTACGGACAAAAGCTCAGAGACAGCTAAAGCTGGAGCAAAAATTCTACGGATTTTAGATAAAAGAAGGATTGAAGTTGTGCATAGTGGTTTTTGTTTTTCGATTTCTCTATTCAAAATGGTGCTATATAGGGGTCAAAAATTAGAATGCCGAAAAGAGCTTGAATTTACACATATTTTGCTTTTTATCTTCTAAACAAAAAATATTTTGTTAAAACATATAGAACAAAATTTGTGCAGAATTACAAGATCTTTTGAATGATATCTCGAAAAAAGGGCTGACCCCTAAATTAAGGGATCTAGAGGGGCCAAAAGTGTTTTCCAGATATCTCAAGAAGTATTGAGAATTTGTAATACATCCTAGAAGCAATGTTGTTCAAAATGTCAAGCTAAATCTAATGAAGTCGTCAAAATGCATCTGGCGACGTCTCTTCCGGTCAAACCGGAAGTAGTCAGAAAATGCATATTTTTGCTGTTCTTGACAAGTGTTTGGGTAACATATATCACAGGAAGCACAAAACTTAATTTTCCGTCCATCGACATTACTTCCGGTCAAACCGGAAGTAGCCAAAATAGCTTATTATTTAAGGTTTTGATGCAAAATTGAAATTATAAAGTGACTGGAGACGACTAAGCTCATTGCTTTCTTTTTGCTGATGTCACTTCCGGTCAAAACAGGACGGAAGACCTTCTCGTTGCTTTGCAACGATCTTTGCTCTAGTTCTTGCTATAATGTTTGATGTCAGACAAATATGTTAATGAAATTATGGTATCGTGATATGAACTTGCATCGATTTAGGAAATGTTTATGCTTAGCAAATTATCTAGCTATACAAATAATCTAAAATAAATTCACTTTTCATTCATTTAATTGCTATATAAGTCAGATAAGCTTTCGTATTTCTTTTTATATTCTTTAAATGTGCATTTCGATTAAAAAAAACCAAATGCCTCTCTCTTAAAAAAAAGCCTGAAAGTGAAAATTATGATTTTTTTAAAAATTCTTTTGCTGTGAAAACATGACGAACATGTTTCTTTACCTAACGCAGATGAAATTCAATATGACCAAGTGGTTTTAGCTTTCGGTATGTAAATGCTTTAAATTTACTTTTGAAGGGTAGGTCTATTTGTACATGTTAAAATTTTTATACATTCCTTGAATTTATTTCTTCGTTTTTAACGTTCATATTTAGGAATATAATCCTTGCAAGATACAATGCTGAGTTAATGCATTTGTTTATAAATATAATTATCTTAAAGTCCTCACTTGCATGTTATAGCGTACCATGCATGTATTTGTGCCTATTATGAATAAACTGACTGAATCAAATGATTAAGATTATCTTTCTGAATGTAATTTCAGTTGTTCTTCTATATATAGTTCATACTTTTCTGTATATAAAACAAGATTTTCTGTATATATTTCAAGCTTTTCTGTATTTATAAT